TTTTTGTAAGAATCTCTCAGAAATTGGGCTGATTTTAAAAATGGTAAATTCTTTTTTCAATTACATTAATCCTTTTTGAGAGATATCAAATCAGTGAAACACGAGATGAATACATTATCGAGAAGATATTCTAAGACGGGCACAATATCCTGAAAATATTTTCAGAATATTCTGATGATTTTTATGTAGTATATATTTATGTATCGTAAATATTGTAAGAATTTTTGGAAGATATCTGAAAATACTACTGAATTCCCGAAATACATATTTTGATGATTCTGCAGATGCTGCAATCTCTCTAAAACTCGGAAAATATTCCGAACAATTTCGGTGTATTCTGTCAAATTTTTTATACATATACAAGTTTAAATTCAACTTATCACTCGCTAGAATTACAGAAATACTCTTAGAAAAGTCATAGTTATATATGTCTTACTCCTTTCTCGAATTATTCGCAGGAATACCTTCTCTTCTCGCGTTGAATCAGTTCAATATTAACAATACGAAAAGTCCTCGTGTCCGCTCTTTAAAAACTCCCTGACGCTTTCTAATTAGCGACGGAATATATTACATATATAATATACATATTACACATCGTAATTATATTACGCCTGGGTGCTTGTCGCTTTTGTTTATTTTTTTTCTTTCTCTGTCGCCTATATCTTCTCATATAAATACTTAGCAATTATTTTTTCTATTTACGAGCTGCTTATGTTTAATCGCTATCTCGTCTTATTTGAAACTGGTGTTAACAATCGCACACACCGCACGAGAACCGTACATTGCGATAATGATAGGTGTATTAAAAAAATACTTGCACTCCACGCTTTAAACGATTTCTTATCAACCTAACATAACAACAGCTATACAGTAATAATAAGTTGATCGTAAAACTACATAACTATATAACTGTCGCAATCATGCGCCGCGAAATATAATTCTTTTCTCTCTTTCTGTGTCGAGAAATAAATCTCCAATTACATTCCGTGTGTGCGCAAAAATCCATGTGCATGATATAGGTACGTATAAAAGTCTCGTCTTCTTGACGGAAGCTCTTCAAATCGCAAAAACTGTTATTCAGCGAGGTTCTCGTACGGCAATCGAGCGCACCAAATTTGCCTGGCATGTTCATGATACGCGAAATGTCCCGCGTAAATGAACCCAATCACGTCTTTAAAATATAAGAGAGAAAGTTTAATTTGATTACACGCAATTCCGTGAAACAAAACATCTTTTATATTACATTTTAACATCGCGACTGGATCACTTTACACGACACACCTGAGATACAGCGTGCTCCGGAAAATTATAAGTATAAGTTAAAAATAAAATGATTTGGTTCTTTAACAATCACAGGACTATTTAACAATCTTGTTAAATTATTTTCTCATTATAATTCAATTGAATATGTTCAACATAGTAGATATAAAAATAGAATATTCTAATTGTATAGATAAAAGAATTCAGATGAAGAAATGAAAAATTTATATATATCAATTTATATATATCAAGTTAACAGTTTATTGTTTTGATTACGGTTAATGTTGAAACAATGTAACGTCCTTTAAAAACTGTAACTTATACTCCTTTTACGGCGCACGTTGAATATTTTCTTTCATCCCTATCCTAACTTATAGGTATTCCTATTAATCGATAACGGTAATAATATATGATACAACGTTTTCTCTTAAAAGCTACACTGAAATATTATCCCTTATTGGTTATTTCTTCGCACATTCGCTTCGCTTTCCGTTCAATGGCAGCAAATTAATTAGTAATCCATGTAATGAAAAATATTCAAGATAATTCTTGCATCTCATAACAAAATTACATTTTAGTTAAGAGTTCCGCTAACTTTTTATTACCTTCCTCAGACCTTTAGTAATCGATGTTGTAAAATCATATTATAAACAGTGATGGATTAATGCATAGACAAACAAATCTTTGAAGACAGAAAATTTTCACATAGTTGAGATAAATTTTTAATTTGTTAATTCAACGTTTTTGCACGAGTTACATCCAGTATATTTTATTAGAAACGATATTTTAAATATAAAGTTAAAATATATTGTATTTATATTACTTATTAATAATTATTGAATGCGGAAGTATAAATTATTTTTTTATCCATTTTTCCTTTTATCAAATTTATAAATTAATAAAGTCACCTGACGACGAGTAGATATTGATGTTTAGGGCGGCAAAATACTTAATCCGTCACTGATTATTAATGAAATGATTTCACTGTAAATTATCTTTTCTCAAAATATGAAATGCTACGTCTTTAGAATTTTCATACAATTTTCGTATTGAACGTAATTATATTGGATAACTAAATTTTAAGAACTAGAAAAGAAATTTATCAAACTATGAATATATTTCTAGAAACGTACAATAAATATTATATGTGATTTTGTCTTTTTGTTCGTCATATTTGTACTAAATCACGAAAATTATTCTTTATAAGAATTTTACTTTCTTTCAAGAAAATCTTTCTTATCTGCACTTGTTTTTCAACTATTTCTTTAATTAGAAAAAATATTTAATTAATAAACAAATTTAATTAAATTAAAATATTTGTATAATTATGAAAATATTTAGATGACTTAGAAATTTTTAGATCTGAGGAAATTAAACCTGCATTTGAAGAAATCGCTATCAAAGCTATTGCGATTATCCTATCCTTATTTTACGTATAATGAACAATAAATATAGAATGATGCAATAACTCTGATAGTACGCTCTTAAAACACAGCCCAAGCATATGCAAAAATGACAATGGAACGTACAAACTAATAATCTGCATTTAAATCAATAACAACATCGGAATGTTCAATCACAGGAACGAACCAAGAACGTACCAAGCGCACACCCTATACATTTTTCGCACATCCTATACATTTTTCAGTCAGAATCTTCGTGTGTACAACGCGAACATTAGCTGATTTCTACCTTCACCAAACAATTATGACGTTTATCACTTCGCATTTGTAATTCCATTGCTTAAGATGGAAAGCAAGTAAAAATTAAATTAATCAAATATCAAGCTTAGATATTTATCCAGATTCCATCAATTTTATAAATAAATAAATAAATAAATAACATAATAATATAGGATTCCTTTAGTTATTATTTTAAATGATTGATATTAACATTTAGTGAAAAATTTCAACAAGAGTTCTTCAAAAATCATAAAATGCAAAGTGACAGATAAAAAAACTTCGGAAAGTCGCTGAATGGGTTCAGAAAATCCTGAAATAAGGGGATGGATAAGGTATTGATCGCTGATGCGCGATTCGGAAAAGGATGTTAATAACGTCTCCTCGTCATGGCAATGAGTCGGATTACTGTCCTGCTCCTCCTCATGATTCGTTCGACCGCAAAAAGATCCATTATTCACAGCCCGCGCTCTCGCTTGCGTTTAACGCTTAAGTATGCTCGTCCAGCACAGTAAAATTTCATACATGTGTCTATGACAGGACGTGATATGTTAGTGTATCCTACGTCTTGATTGCACTTGCTACATCACTCCGCATATAAATCTTTACGCTCGCGTATATCTAGATGAATCTTATGATTTATGATATATTAAGTAGGTATATTATGCAAATAATTGTATAATTAATCATCAATTCTAGGAGCAAATCGAACAATCAGTTACTGTTAATCTATTAATTAATGTATCTCCTGTCAACGATTTTTTTATTAAGGTTTTCCAACTATTTTAAAGTCAATTTTGTTTTAAATAAATGATTCTTTTTAGTTTTAGTTCTGTAAAGAGATACAGCAATAGTTAAACTTAGCCGACATCAGTTAGAAACAGTCTCTTCTTGGAAAAGAAACTTTTTCAATTTTCATTGATATTGGATAAGTAAACTTGGAAATAAAATCGTCTGTGGAAGAAGTTTTCAGTTCTTATTCCATAAATATATAAAATAAACATATGGAAGCATATTTACCTTTCATGAAGCTAACAGTTTCTCTCTCGTACCTAAATATATGCGAGCAAACGCAAACACATGCTTACCCTCGATGCTTCTTCACCAAATGATAAACAACAATTAAGTACCGTTTCACACAGCCGCTCGCGCTTATATCGATCAAGAAATCAATCCCCTTGTAACGAAGCCAATTGATAATTTACAGTCCTGTAAAAAAAAATAAGCTCCGATCCCGTTATGAAAGATCGAATTACAAACTCAGAACATGCTCGGAATCAGGGGTTAACGAATGATATGCGACCTTGAAAAGCGATTCGAAACCTCTCACATTACATCTTGCATGATTAACCCTAGAAGAAACTTTATCCATGACATTATTATTCATCCTTCTGTCCCTTCATTGTACACTCTAATCCAGTCTCTATCTTTAGCACCGTAAAATGGTGTCCCGTTAGTGGAAGGGTTCGAAGATTGGACACCCTTGAATCATGTTAAAATTTAAAAGGATTACGGCTGATTATTATTAATAGGTCATCGTACGATCTCTCAGATCTTTACTGCTCGGTTATTCCCTTCTGTTCACTAACGAGACTTTATCATGCACGATGATCACTCCTTGGTGGATACGATATATAAGCCGTAAAAGCGGAAGCTCTCTAAAGTCCCCTCGAGCGACGACAGCTTGCTTTGCGTATATAATATCATGACTCGGTAGCCATGGCTCTAAGAAGGATATTGAAGCTTCTTCGTCCTCTTGGCTGTTCTCTTCCTGCTTTCTCTCCTCTTCCTTTCTTCCGCACAGCACACGCACATACACACATATACTCACGTACACTTTCCTTTGGCACGTCAGCTCATATGCTACTCTCTACTCGCTCTCTAACCTATCATCGCAATAAAAAAATATGAGGAATAAAAATATATCACGTAACAATGCCTCCTCCGTGAGAGGAAGGAAAACTGAAGACGAGACCCTCACGCAACGGCAAGATATTCGAACCTCTGATGTGGAAGCATCATTTCTTTCCCCACCTCTACCA